TCATCATCATCATCATCATCATCAGCATCATCATCATCATCATCATCATCATCATCATCATCATCATCATCATCATCAGCATCATCATCATCATCATCATCAGCATCATCATCATCATTAGCATCATCATCATCACCATCATCATCATCAGCATCAGCATCATCATCATCGTCGTCGTCGGCGTCGTCGTCGTCGTCGCCATCATCAGCATCATCATCATCATCATCATCATCAGCATCATCATCAGCATCGCCATCATCATCGCCATCATCATCAGCATCATGATCATCATCAGCATCAACATGAGCAACAGCATCATCATCATCAGCAGCAGCCGCAGCAGCATCATATGCATCATCAGCATCAGCACCATAAGCATCATCAGAATCATCATCAGCATCATCCTCATCATCATCAGCATCAGTATCATCAGTATCATCAGTATCATGATTATCATCATCCTCATCATCATCATCATCATCATCAGTATCACCAACATCATGATCAGTATCGCCATCATCAGCATCATCAGCATCATCGTCATCATCAGCATCATCAGTATCAGCATCAGCATCAGCATCAGCATCAGCATCATCATCATCATCATCATCCGCATCCTCATCCTCATCATCATCATCATCATCATCATCATCATCATCATCATCATCGTCATCGTCAACAGCATCAGCAGCATCATCATCGTCAGCATCGTCATCATCAGCGGCACCATCATCAGCATCAGCATCAGCATCAGCATCAGCATCAGCATCATCATCAGTGTCGTCATCATAATCATCAGCATCATCGGCAGCAGCATGAGCATCATCATCACGATCATCATCATCAGCATCATCATCATCATCATAAGCATCATCATCATCACCATCAACATCGTCATCATCATCATCATCAGCAGTAGCATCATCATCATAATCAGCAGCAGCATCACCATCAGCATCATCATCATTATCGTCATCATCGTCGTCATCATCAGCATCATCATCCGCATGATCATCATCATCATCATCATCATCATCATCAGCAGCAGCAGCATCATCATCGTCATCAGCATCGTCGTCATCATCAGCATCATCATCAGCATCCGCATCAGCATCAGCATCATCAGCATCCGCATCATCAGCAGCAGAATCATCAGCAGCAGCAGCATCACCTGCATCATCATCATCAGCATCAGCAGCGAGAGCATCAGCACCATCAGCATTATCAGCATCATCATCAGCATCATCATCATCATCATCATCAGTATCATCATCATCATCATCATCATCATCATCATCATCATCATCAGCATCATCATCATCATCGGCAGATAATCATCAGCAGCATCATCAGCATCATCATCAGCTTCATCATCAGCATCATCATCATAACCATAATCAGTATCATCAGAGAATCATCATCAGCATCATCATCATCATCCTCATCCTCATCCTCATCATCATCACCATCATCATCATCATCATCATCATCAGCATACGTATCATGAGTATCATCTGCATCATCATCACCAGCATCATGATCAGTATCGTCATCATCAGCATCATCATCGTCATCATCAGCATCATCAGCATCAGCATCAGCATCATCATCCATCAGCATCGCCATCGTCATCAGCATCAGCAGCACCAGCATAAGCATCAGCATCAGCATTAGCATCAGTATCATTGTCAGCATCAGCATCATCATCATCAGCATCATCATCATCAGTATCATCATCAAAATCATCATCGTCATCGGCAGCAGCATGAGCATCATCATCATCATCATCAGCAGCATCATCATCAGCATCATCATTAGCATCACCATCATCATCAGCATCATCACCAGCATCAGCATCAGCATCATCACCAGCATCATCAGCATCATCATCGGCATCACAATAATCATCAGCATCAGCATCATCCTCAGCATCATCAGCATCCGCATCATCAGCAGCAGAATCATCATCAGCAGCAGCACCAGCATCGGCAGCATCAGCAGCATCACCACCATCGTCAACATCATCATGCGCATAACCAGCATCATCATCGTCATCAGCATCCGCATCGAAACCGTCATCGTCATCAGCATCAGCATCGTCCTCATCAGAATCATGATCGTCGTCATCATCAGCATCATCAGCAGCATCATCACCATCACCAGCATCACCATCAGGTCATCATCAACATCATCATCAGCATCATCATCAGCAACATCCTCAACATCCGCATCATCAGCATCATCAGCAGCAGCATCATCGGCAGCTGAATCATCATCGTCGACATCTGCCTCTTCCCCATCATCATCCTCCTCCTCCTTCTCCCCCTCCTCCTCCTCCTCGTTATCCTCCTCCTCCTCCTCCTCCTGCTCCTCCTCTGCCTCCCCCTCCACAACCTCCTCCTCCTCCTCCTCCTCCTCATCCTCCTCCTCATCCTATTCATCATCCTCCTCCGCCTCCTTCTTCTCCTCCTCCGCCTCCTCATCTTCCTCGTCCCATTCCTCCTCCACCTCCTCCTCCTCTCCCTCATGTTCCTCTTCCTCCTCCTCCTCCTCCTCCTCCTCCTCCTCCTCCGCCTCCTCTCCTTCTCATCCTCCTCTTCCTCCTCCTCCTCCTTTCCACCTCCTCCTTTCCTCCGCCAACTCCGCTTCCTCATCCTTCTCCTCCTCCTCCTACTCCTCTTCTTCTCTCCTCCTCCTCCTCCTCCTCCTCCTCTCATCATCCTCCTTCCTCCCTCCTCCTCCTCCTTCCTCCGCGTTCCTCATCCGCCTCCTCCTCCTCCTCCTCCTCCTCCTACTCAGTTCTTCTTCCTCCTCCTCCTCCTCGTCCTCCTCCCCCTCCTCCTCCTCCTCCTCCTCCTCCTCCTCCTCCTCCTCCTCCTCATCATCATCATCATCATCATCATCAGCATCCGCCTCGTCCTCCTCCGTCTCCTCCTCCTGCTCCTCCTGCTCCCGTTGCTCCACCTGTTCCCCCTGCTCATCGTCGTCCTCCCCCGCATCCTCCTCATCATCTGCCTCCCCATCATCGTATTCGTCTTCTTCTTATTAGCATTAGTAGTAGTAGTATTAGTAGTGGTAGTAGTAGTAGCAGTAGTAGTAGTAGTAGCAGTAGCAGTAGCAGTAGCAGTAGTAGTAGTAGTAGTAGTAGTAGTAGTAGAAGCAGTAGTAGTAGAAGCAGTAGTAGTAGTAGTAGTAGTAGTAGTAGTAGTAGCATTGGTCTTCGCATTCGCC